AGTTTACTCTAAAAACAAAAGATATGATAAGAAAAGGAGACCAAAAAGATGTTCTTTAGACACTATGACTGAAAAAAATTAAGATATGAAACATTGGAATCTCTAATATTGTTATAATTTTAATACAGACTAATTTAAGTGATATACTCGCGGAATGTATTATTTATTAACATTTAATCGCGCGTAAAGTATTTTAAGAGAAGTCATTCTTTTTCCGAACTGCGACAATACGCGAGATTTGATAAAAATAAGAAAGAATTAGCGAGTATATGATTTAAATCAGTCTGTATTAAAATTATATAACAATATTAGAGATTCCAATGTTTCATATCTTAACAATTACATATTCATACAAAAATTGTAAAAAGCGTAATTTATTTAGTATAATTGGGCCATTACAAACATTAAAACATTAAAAAGAGAAAATTAATGAAGTAACCGATATTCATGTTTGGGAAACAACGATTGTTTCGTTGCTTCGCCTAAACAAAGGGCACAATAACTGCAAATTACTTGTATTATATTTTATAGCTATTAATGCATTTGCGTGATGTTGTAGCTCTTTATAGAATATTAGATAGGATGAAAGAAAAGAAATCAAACAATATAGCGCATAATTGAAAAATAATTAATTCTTCAATTAGCATAACGAGTATGTTTCTTCGATAAAGCGATGCGTAAAGTTTTAAAAATATCGTCATTTATGAGTCTCAGAAATGTTTAGATGTTAATTCTTATAGAAAAATATTAATTGCTTTAGCAAGGATAATTATTTATATATATAAAACCTATCATGATCATCTAACATTTCTTTGATATTCTTGAAATTATTTAAATTATATTTTCAAGATTAATTAAAATTAAAAATTTTTTAAATATAAAGATCACAATAACTTTTAAATTATAATTTTTTAAAATTAAGTTACGTTTATAATTGTACTTGCATACATAAACTTACTTCAGATTCCATAATTACAATAGAATTTAGTACAGAATTTTTTATCCATGATTTTATTAATAAGTATAATTATTAGTAAAATTTAACAGTTACTCAAAAATTTTATTTAATAATATTTTAACATGAAAATTACAATAAATTAAAACTAAAGCTTAATAATCTTAATTGCATTAAAGATTATATAAATTCAGCAGAAATGTTTATAGAGTGATCCGAAATTCCTGCATTCGGAGTACAGAATATGGTACTTTATGCTAAAAGAAACAATTTTTTCCTTTGCAAAATTGCGTCTGACAAATGTAACTTTTGCAGGATAATAAATTGAAGTTATATGAATAAACGCAAAAATTATTTATTAAATCTAATTTTACTACAGGAAAAAGTGGTTTCTTTTAGCATAAAGAGTCATGTCCTGTATTCCGAATGAAGGAATTTCGGATCACCTTGTATATGTATAATAAAATACTTATAACACACTTAAGAGAAATTAATTAGTATCTTTATCGATGCTAATGAGTTTGTGAAATAATACATAAGCATGATAATTTATTTTGAAGAATTTAATAAAACACAATATGAAATATATTTAAGTTCATAAACATCATTGAAAAAGTCATTATTATTAATATATTCGGGTTTGAAACAATAACTAAACATTTTCTTATCCTACTGCTTCAATTTTTAGTTCAAAACAAAAATAGGAGAGAATTATCGAATGCATATTACTTAATTTTTTACTGTTATTATATTTTCCATTTGGCACTGTTTTGTATGCAAACAAACATTAGAAATTATAATTTGAGATTTCGAACGCTCATTACATGTTTAACTTTCCATTAATAACAAATTAATTTGTTATAAATCTTTTCGTAATACACATGCAGTAAAAGATATGATTTAAATAACTACCTATCTAAATCATATTTATAGATATTTTTTATTTCCTTTAAAAGTATCGAATAAAAATATTTAAAAGTATAAGGTTAATAAAAGAAATCATTAACTGATAGCAAATAATTAATTAATACATAATTTTAATGATTTATTGAAAAAGATTAAATATTTTATAACTATTAAATATACATAATTTTAATGATTTATTGAAAAAGATTAAATATTTTATAACTATTAAATAACAATAATGAAAAGACTAATAACGTCAAAATAAAATTATTGATGAAAATATTGATTTAATCTTTACAAATATAGTTGCAAATATGTATATACAGTGAATGTAAAATATTCTACAATAATTTTTTTTAAATAAAAATACAAAAATTTATAATAAAATTAGATGATCACGTTATCATTCGTTACATAAGTTGATTAATATCAGATGTGATTCTTTAAAATACCGCTAAAACCGGGTTCGTACCTTGATTGGAAAAACGAAAAGTGGAAAAGCGGAAGCCAATCGGAACTCGCAGTAGTAGGCGGTACATTTCGCTTGTCTGCTTCTGTCTTTTCATAAGTTTCCTAAACCATACCATAACACAGGATAAGACTGATAATTGACAATAATAAAACTAATAATCGATATAAATGTCAAGCGCAAAAACATATTTGAGCTAATTTTATTTTAACGTTATTAGTCTTTTCATTATTGTTATTTAATAGTTATAAAATATTTAATCTTTTTCAATAAATTATTAAAATTATGTATTAATTAATTATTAACTATCAGTTAATGATTTCTTTTTAATCTTATATTTTTAAATATTTTTATTCGATACTTTTTGACTTCCATAAAATACATAGGCTATATTTTTATCTATATTACTCATTTTTCATGTATTTTATATTATTGTTTTTAAATGTTGCCTGTATTAATAATATAAAATATTCATGAAGTACGAGAGATTTAGGCGACCAGTACAGAGAGAGAGAGAGAGAAAAATATATTAATATCTCTGTCTATCTTAATGCCGCCTAGACAGAGGTATTAATATATTTCTCTCTCTGTTATCGATTTTATTAAAAGTATTATCCTGTATGCAAAAGTCGGCTCAAATCGTTTCGTGTCGCGACTCTGATTAAAGGATCTCTAATATATATTATATTAAGATACAGTCTTCATTTTCCAACTTACATTTTTCATTACGTTACAAATCTTTCACTGTGTACTGTGACGCGTGTCAAGGTCAGGCGCGTGTCAAGGTCGAACGCGCTGCGAGTGCGACGCGGTGTTTGCAATCATTCCAATCTACAGAGACGTAGAACACGGATCGCAGATCGTAAAACTAGAAACTAACCTAATATATTTTAATTATAATGAATTACAGGAATTCAGAAATATTTAACTTTCGCCTATCCTATGTATTGCGGTCTATGACTTATTATGAGCTTTCTACAATAAAATAAGTCATTACCTATTACCCCACAAATAACACAATAGAGTAGTAGAGCAGTAAGCCTTAAGTCTTAAGAAATTGTGCATAGTCGATTATTCTTCTCACATTCGATGTGAGAAGAATAATCGACTGTGATTGATCAATTTTTTAAAACTTAAATTTTTTAAGGCTTAAAGCTTACTAGTCTATTGTGTTTACGGGATTAAGCTCTAAGTTTTAAGCCGTAAGAAATTAACCAATCATAATCGATTATTCTTCTCACTTTTGACTGTGATTGGTCAACTTCTTATGATTTAAAACTTAAAGTTTAAGTAGTAGTTTAATGTCTTGTTTTAATACTCATCTAATTATATAATGAAACAGTCGCTTTCTTAATTTTTGAATAATATTTTTAGTGCGCTAGAAAAAATTTTTTGTACATCTGGAGAGAGCCTAATATAAGGTCAAAACATGTAATTGTATTTTACTTTCTACAGTTCTTGTTTATTATATCTATTTTTAATTATACTTATGTTAAACGAACAATGGAGATTTTTTAAGTTTTTCTGACTCTTATTAGTCTTTTATATTTCGTTGTCGTATTTTATAAAAAGTTATAATCTGAAACATGGTTCATTTGCGATTTTTGATCTATGTTCTGTGTCTTAATCCTTTCAGTCGCAATGGGCTATCTAAGAGACACCTTTTTAGTCTTCTTTTTTTATCATATATCTTTTGTTTTTAGAGTAAACTCATGGATTTTTTGCATTTTCAAATAAAATAAGATTCAAACTTCAAAAAGCAGGGCATGTTTATCTAATTTCATGATTATCTAATAATTTTTATTTGTTATAAGCAAATTTATATCAAAAAATGCATACGTTCTCAAATTTAATTTATTTGTGGCAGATTTTGACAATAAACTTGCATTGCAAATCATTGTTTCCAATTTTTGAGGTCGTTAAAATCCGTTCAAATTACGCCATCAGATTTTTAAAATTCAAAATGGCGGATCTAATATGGTGGCCAGAACTACAAAAAAGTGATTATGCAATAAGTTAATGATTTGCAATCGGTCAATTATTATTGCATTGACTCAGTCATTTTTAACACTATATATTGTTGTTGTTAATGTATTGGATATGGGAATAAGTTTATGGGATTAAATTTAGTTTGAGAATAAGTTTAAAAATTATTAATTTTTTTGATACGTTATCTTGAATTCGCCATCTTGGATTTGACTTTTTTTGTTCAACCCCGGATTCAAATTCAACGGCCTCAAAAATCTAAGAAACTATCCTTCCTAATTGATTGCTACATTCCCTGAATTGCGTGACTGAAAGAGTTAAGCCCATTTTACGTTTAGTCGCAAGCCGATCGTAAGTTTGTATTTGCAATAGCCAATCTGAAATTTGCATTTTGAAATTATCATCGTTTCAGATTGGCAACAAATTTGCGATCAAAAACCTAAAAAAAAATCACATTTTCTGTAATGATTGCTATTCCCTTTCCTGTAATGATTCCCTGAATTGTGTAACAGAAAGAGTTAAACAATTACATATTCATAAAAAAATGTAAGAAAAAGACATAAAACATTTATGAATTGAATATTTAAGAGAGAAAAGGGAGGAAGGAGAGGGAGGGAAAGGGGAGAGAGAGAGAGAGAGAGAGAGAGAGAGAGAGAGAGAGAGAGAGAGAAATTTATCGCTCACCTGTTCAACCCACAAGTTCGTCGTCATAATTTGATTCTTCAAGTTCTGTAACAAAAATTGTTTTTTTAATAAACTAATAAATTGCATATATTTTTTAATTGTACAATCTATAATTAATTGTTTGTTTAAACTTTACAATTTCTATTTCTATAATTTATTCTAACTATTATACACAGAATAAATTTATTTCGGTATATTTTTAAAAATATCTATATAATTTAATTTTGTTCTAATTCTTCATTATATATCTGCACACATTTTTTGCGTAATCTTTAATGCAATTAAAAAAATTTTTAATTTATTTTAAATTTATTTACTTTAAATAACAGGGAATGATGTTATTAAGATGTTATTATATATATAAGAGAAATAAATCATTTGATGTTCTCTGATTTGAATTTGTTTAATTTCCAAAAACAATTCCTATGGTTCTATTTGGCAAGCGTTTAGCAACGAGTCTTCTTTAATAGAAAGTGTATGATACTAGTTCTTCTTTTGCATCTGTCAGCTGCAGCGCATTGTAATTTCTGGATTCAACGTCACCCCTCGACTAATTGGACCTAACTAACAGTTCGGGTGCATAGATGGAACTTGCAGCTGTAATCCTAGTTATGGACTACTGGTATGCGATTTTGGACTTTCTGCTATTTCGTGAATCCCTGACGTTCACAATTCAAACTATACCACACGTGGAATCTATCCAAGCCCACATCTGTTTGCATGTGTGAGCAAATCTAATCCTGATTGAATGCAAACGATGTGTGTCGGAGATAAGTATATCCTCAAATATTTCTGCGACATTTATACAATTGCTGTTAATTTTGGATATACAATTATTAATTATCTGTTAGTAATATCATAGACGCCGCTATCGATATTATAATTAGAGTAATCATAATTATTATAATTATTGACAATAAAAATTTTAATGTTAACATCATTAATTTAATGATATTATTACTGTATTACCTGTGATATTACGAAATTTAGATGTATTAACTTTTGAACATATATAACAACTTTTAAAATGAATTAATTTTTTACGTAATTTAATTATGTGAATTACAATTATTTCCTCGTTACTTTTGCTTGTTTAATTTTACAATAATAATTTACCGCATAAATTTATCTATAGTCATGAATTCCATCGTGTCAAAACAATAAATATATACATTAACGATGTTGAGCTTCCATTATGAGGTGTCCGACAAGGTAATCATCGCAACATAGTCGTATCGAGGGACCGGTATTGAATGGTATATATCCACTCTGCGATGAATTATCCTCGATAGTAAGGCGGACTGCATTCATATGCAAATGTAATAATACCAATATAGCTTTAGTCTACGCGTTTCGATGAATCTCGGATGTAAATGTAACGAAGACCGGATATATTATCATGGTACTATCAAGAAACGTTAATGTTGCTTTACGTGGAAAATGTAATTTGGTTTTTTATCTCTAATTTGGTTTTTTATCTCTATAATTATAATTATAATGACATTCGTTGAAATGTATTGAAAGGGTAAATATGATAATAAAACGAAATAATATGAAAAGATCATTTTCTTTTTAGTTAATCGCATTATTTAAGTTAATCCGTATTTGTTTTATCGTTGTTTTTCTAAATGATAAATTATATGTATTGTATTTCTTTAATATATTTTACCTTAATCTTTCACATTCTTTAAATAAAAAATGCACCTTAAACAAGAACATTAATTTTTATAATAAAAAAACCGGTTTTTTTTGTATAAATTTATTTCCTTTTTTCTTTCAATGTTTCGTATATAATAATTGTTGGATTAATTGTTACTTATGCGACTCTGTCGAATCGATTGAATTATCGCGAGATTATAGAGCTCATCGGGCGACAAGCATTATCGCGATTATAGGGGCAAAGGCTAATTAATTCGTGCGTATTCGATATATGCGCACGTGTTCGCCAATTCGGTTGAAATTAATGTCATGTCGATTGTAACCACGGAAAGCGGAAAACTCGCATGTCGGTTTATACGAATTTCCGCGTCGATACGAAACTGCACTTGTCGATCTGAATAATCAATTTTGACACGGGACAGTGTCGAATGCAACGACACCGATAATAATAATAATAATAATAATAATCTCATATTTCTTAGCGGTTCAATAATATGATGTCTAGTATATAACAATAATGACAAATCTAATACAATGATATAGTAACTATTGAAATCGTTATTTTGTATTGCCAATCATTAAGGATAAATGATAACATAATTGAACTTATGATATTACTAATTAATTTCTATTAATAGTAATATAATGGCATAATAGCAGTTGCTCATTATTGAAATTAGCCAATACGCGGATCAGCTACGACGTGAACTGTTTGAAAAGTAGCAGAGTAACTCCGAATTGTTCTGCATCAATATCACGATGTCCATGACATATTGCCAATTATAGGCAGAGTGAAAGGTAATTAGCAAATTACTTTATGTTTAATTAAACTCTGATTGCGATGGCACAGGATGTGCCATACGATCGCATACCATTAGAGTGAACGCGCAATATGTTAATTGATTTCAACATACGCAGCAGGTTTTGATATGTAGGTGGATATTAGATTTATTGTGTTGTCTATACGAATCGTAAATTAAAAATTCCTATCGAGTTTCCATGCTTGGACGCAAGAATATTCGCACGTCGCAATCAATCTCTAATTAATTCCCGCGCAATGCGGCATGTAGTGCAATTAATTAGTTAGAAAAGATGAATTATTTTTGTTTTTTAAACTGATAAAGATAATTATTGTGCAAAAGATATTCAATCGTGATCTTGGAGAGATAAAAAATAAAGATAGCAGTTTGTCATTTATAAATATTGTTAAATTAATTATTTATTAAGAAACATTGAATAATGTTTGTGTTTCCATTAACTATATTTATCATGTATATTCAAATTTGTAATTTTCTAAAAACTTTGTATATTCTAAAGATTCTATCTTGTTGTAATCAATATATTGGTTAAAGCTATTTATGTTTGTCATTTATTAGAAAATTTAATATTATTAATAAATAATAATAAATAATTATAATTATAATAAATCTATTAAAAATATATATTTTAGAAAATACATTTAAAAATCTGATTCTCCTCCATCCTTTTGTGAATTTATAAACATGCTTGTCCTATATCTAGAGTCATCTCTTGAAGCGAACGTATTGCAAACGTATTGTAGCTATAAGAGGCATAAGAAAAATAGTAAGCGTAGATTGTCAGGTAGATTTAATTTATATCATTCTTCGAGAATATTGATTTAAAACTTGGTAATAGATAAGTTTTGTACCTGCTCGAAGTTTTCAATAGAAGAATGATAAGAAAAGAAAAATAAAATTCAGAAATGAAGCTTTTTAATTTTTAATCAATAAGTAAACAAATTGTTTTGTAACATAGCAAACAAGAATGTCGGTTTTGAATATAAATTCTATCGGGAGAACGTGAGAAAGAAGAATATTTCATATATAAAATTTACGCACATAGAAAAAGAACTGTAAATTATAATTTTATAAATTTATATTCTTTCCAAATGTAAAATATTAATTAAATTGAACATATTTGTATTGGATATCCTGCGTCAGAATATCGAAATCCGGAATTGATCGATACCGTAAATTAAACAAACGACAAATGTTATGAAGTTGATAAGATGACAAAGAACGAATATAACAAAATGTTCAGGCTCTCGAGAATAATTTCTTCATTTCTGTGATATCGTAAATCAAGATGACCGATTGGAGTGGAATTAGAGTGGCAAAAATAGATGTATGCTTGGGACAGCTAGCGAGAGATGAATAATGCTCTGTTTTCCGGCGTTGAATATTTAAGATTGTTGAATATTCATGAAACGCATGAAACATTTCTTTGTTGTAATATGAATTTACGTGAAGCATAATTTTTTGCTGATAATAGGAACATCTTGAATATATCAATCGTGCAAATGATTCAGAGGATTGCAATTATCAAGTCTGAAACTTGTGACGTAGCTTAAGTTTGAATTTAATTTTTAATTGAACATATAAACGTTAAATAAACTCTTTATAAATTTTTTTATTACTTGCTTCGTCGCCGACGAATGGTAGATAACATTCAATCTTCTGTCTTATATTAGATTAGATGTAATTAGATATCTATATTTATTTACACACGTTTCAGCACAGATACATTTATTAGAACATATATTACTTTCAAACATTTATCGATTATCATCAAAAGAAACTAATGTATTTCACATATATACACATCACATTAATGAAATCCGACGCATATCGTACAGTACCGAACTGTGACTGACGTGAATTTGACATGCGCTATTTAAACGCTCCGCCAGCAATGTGATCCTCTAAATGCATTAAACCGCAATAATTAAGAGGCATGTTGACGATCGGGAGTTGCATTTACAAATATCGATCGATATTTAATCTAATTTCTTTTTAATAATGTAATAGCTGTTGGAAACGAGTAAAGAGATTTCCATATAATATCATTCCACGCACTTAATAAAATATTTTACATCACAGATTATACTACATACCATTTACGTTTTGTTAAAAGAGTTATATAAAAATATTATAGCATTAATTCACTAATTTTTCAAGATACCTTTTAATGTTATTATTTATTGATATGTACATTTATTTGATAATTATACAATAAGAATTTTTTTTAAGGAACACACTATTTAATAAAAACATACTAGAAAGAAATATTTCATTAGGAACTTGATATTTCTAAAAAAAGCTTTTGGGTCAAGAAGGAAAGCCCGTTTATTTAAAAGTTTCTGGTGGAAATGGCGCATAAAATTCGCTCAGTGCTTTTAGACCTCTCGAGGCTTTTTCATGATTCCTATACTGCTTTCAATTTTTATGCGATATTCGCGCGGAGAGTACAGAATGCTAAATTTAAGTTGTAAATTTAAGCGTGCGGTTCGAAACTATTTTATTAATGACATGCAGAGAAATTTTTTGCATCATTTTCCACAGAAAAATATTTTATAATTACTTCAC